GTGTCCATGTATAAGTACTCACTGATGATTTCATTACTTTTTTTGACAATTGCAACTGGCAGGCCATTTTTACTAGTTCTATAAATACAAGAACTTCCCGAAATAGGTGCATTTTCTTCCAAAAAGACTTCTGTTTGAATGTTTACTAATCCATTTCTTGGGTTTTAATGCATCAGGTTTGGAATTGTTTTTGTAAAACATTTCAGGTTGGAGTGCTGAATCATAATGTACTGATTCACTGGATTACTAAGACATGCATGTTTGGCAGAAATACTCCATATCTGATGTGGGAGAGTTTCAGTTTGGCTGCAGACTCATCCGTGTTCATAACCTGTCAAACAAAGATAAAGTTCCTTGAGATTAGATGTTCGCATTATTTCAGTCACATTATCGTTCAATCCTTTTCACTGAGAGTTCTTGAATGCATTTTCAGCACATCTGTAGTTTATAACCGCACACATTTTTGCAGTTCATATGCTTGATTATTGGCTTATTTTCCTTCTTAAGTTGAGTAGTTTCACAGACTTCTATCTGTTAGTGGTACGCATTGTTTCTGAGAGGCATTCAGCCCTGAGTGTGAGTTTCCCATGACCAGATGTTTCACTCCAGCTCTTGATTTTGAGTTTACTTTCGTGCATACTTCTTGCTTTCAAAACTTGCAAAAGAAAGAGTTGCAGAATATTGTACAACTCTAGTCTGCAATTGATGTGTTGGCAGAATGTGTGTAATATCAAGTTATGACATTGCGCATAAAATGTCTGAGGAGATAAAAGCTCTGATTTTTTTTTTACACAAGTGACTGAGCTTAAAGGGGCTAATAATTGTGACCTTAAAATGTTTTTTAAAACTGCTTTTATCCTAGCCGAAGTAAACAAATAAGACTTTCTCCAGAAGAAAAAATATTATCAGACATACTGTGAAAACTTTCTTGCTCTGTTAAACATAATTTGGGAAATATTTAAAAATCAAAGGGCTTTTATACATTTATGTCAATATATTTTAATTATTTACAAGCATGTTGGTGCATTATTTTGTACGACGTGATTAGTCATGATTAAACAGTGCTAAACGTGTCAATTTTAAATAGATTTAATATTATTTAGATTAGATTAGATTTTAATGTTATTAATTTTTTTTAATAATAAAAAGAAATTGATTTAATTAGCGTTGACTGAAATCGCAGAGCCCTTACTTCTGAATGATGGTGTGGGTTATTGTGACAGCACCGTTCATTCGTTCATTCATTTTTTTTCCGGCTTAGTCCCTTTATTAATCAGGAGTCCCCACAGCGAAATGAACCGCTTACTCATCCAGCATATGTTTTACGCAGCGAATGGTCTTCCAGCCGCAACCCAACACTGGAAAATTTTAGCTTACCCAATTCACCTATAATGCATGGCTTTGGACTGTAGGGGAAACTGGAGCACCCGGAGGAAACCCACGCCAACAAGGGGAGAACATGCAAACTCCACACAGAAATGACAAGTGGCCCAGCCGTGGCTCAAACTAGCAACCTTCTTGCTGGGAGGCGATCGTGCTATCCACTGCACCACCGTGACACCCACTGACAGCACGGTTAAAAAAAAAAAACAGATGCTGATTGTGAGTGTGTTTCTATCTTCTCTCGCCCACTGTCTGAGCTTTGGAGTTGAAGGGAAGTTCCAGGATTGTCCAGGAGAGATGCACTCAAATTATACAGTTTTGTTTTTACACCCGCTTACTCATCACATTCCCAAAACACACACAGATTGTACAGGAGCTGTGCTATAATCAAGCACTTGTCCCTGTATATAAAGCAGTTTCATTAGAGCTGAAACTTAAAAAGTTTACATTTTTCTGACACAATCTTAAACGGTGCACAGGAAAGAGCTGAAATCAGGTGAAGTATTTATCTGTTTGTTTCGTAGTACCACATCTTTGTGCTCCAAGAATAAGACGTCATTCAAACATCCCATGCAGCTGTTGATTAAACGGAATGCAGCATCTGATAGAAGAGATGTAAAGTGAGTTACTCTGATTTCACAACTGTAGAGAGTGAACTCAGCCTTGCTTTGTCCTTACTTCACCCTGAGTAACAACTCTGGGTCAGACTCCTGTGAGCTCATGCAAATAAACTGTTTCCATTAAATATAGTTTACTGGGCTGTTACTGTTTTTAAGCTTAAAACACATTTTAGAATCATTAGATATCATAAGAACAATTATCTATCTTTCTGTCTATCATTCTAGTAATACATTTGATAGTATACTTGCTGGAAATTGAAATAACATCAATATTTTAAACTATTTAAACAGTTGATTTGTATATAAAGTTTTCAAAAAATTAGTTTGTACTACTTGTGAAATTGAAAGTAAGTACTTAATTTAAGATAGTTTTTTTGTACCATTTGTGCAAGTCATCTGGAAAATAACTTTATTAAAACTGGGAACAATCAAAGCGTTTCTGCTAAACATTTAGCAGAATCAATAAATGAAAGCATTTAAATGGGATTTTGTTTTGGGAATTCAGGGGTGTGGAAGATTAAAACCCCTTTTGTGTATCTCTATGTCCATCACGGTTGTTTTTCAGCTCTGTCTGCCACATGCAAGATAATTCAGACATTATAATGATAATAAGACTGCACAATATTGAAGAAAAAAAAATTGCTGCACAATTTATTGTTTGAGCATTGATATTGAAATGAGTGCATCCATACAGGTGCTGCATTGAAGCTCAGATGAATGCAATAGGGCAAAGATACAATTGAAATAAACAGTGCTTTTTAGATTTCAGAAGAGTCAGAAATCAGTATTCAAAAAGAAATTGAATAATAAAATGTAAAAAAAACACTGTATAGTCATTGTGTAAAAAATTAAATACAAATAATCTTTAGTCTACAAACATAATCACTTATGCCTAAATAGTTTATAGTCACAGGTCCTATAAACAAATGAAATTGAAAACTTTTACTTTAAACTTTGCAATGACTCTAGTGTGTGCTGAACGGTAGTTCTGCAATGTGTCTGTAAAAAAAATTCTTGCAGCTTAATTTTATTTGTTAAATCAAATAAAATGTTCTAGTCATCTCAACTTAAATAAATTAAACAGACTAAAAATATTAAGTTAAACATAGTATAAGTTAAAAATGGTAGCTAAAAAACCTCATCAGCTTAGTAAAATTTTTAAAGTTAAAGTAATATTTGTTCTCATGACCTTTTGTCATATTTTTTTAGTGTACACAAACTGATTAAATTCCTTAATGTCCTTAATAAAACCTCAAGGATTGTGTTGTTTTAGCTTATTTTAAATGAGTAGTTTAAACAAGTGTATTGCGGTCTCACACATTGCGATAATGCTGAAACAATACACTGTGCATCCCTGTTATGCCAGATGACGCTGACAACAGAGTTGAGGATCCAAATGCAGGTTTGTTATGAGAATGGTCAGGCAAGCAATGGTCAAAGCAGGGGCAAACAGATGCATGCAGGGATCCAGAGTCATGATCAATAAACAGGTGTATGATCAGTACAGGCAGCAAGCAACGTGAACAAACAGAACAAAGCAAGGGTCAAACATGGCAAGGCAAAGGAAACGCATCGTAATGTTCACAACACAGTATAACAGGGCTCAGCAACTGGTGTGTGCCTGTGCTGCTTTTAAAGTCCATGTAATCAGCTTCAGTTCTGTTAGCAATCAGCAGAAATCCAGAACAGGTGTGAGTGTGTGGTGCATGACTAGATTTGTCCATACGGCGACAGATTTGTAGTCCTGAGTGAAAGTGAATGATTCCCAACCATTTACAAGCCTGGATCGCTGGTGATTGTGACACCTAGATGATAGCATTTCTTGGTTTTCCAAAAAAAATCTCCAAATATCATCATTTGGATATAAATCTCTGCAATACTCCACTAGCCAGCAAGAGTGCAGGGATTTCTGAAAGAGGTCTCAAAGTAACACACTTTAGTGAAATTGTAGCTTTTGCTTTTCTTGTTTGGATCTGTAGTGAATTTCATGGCGAGGTGGGTGGATGTGCTTTTGTTTGTGATTTTTAGGGTCATTTGGAGGATTAGATGACAAGATTGTTACATTTCCAATCCTTTTATTTCCTCTCATTTGGGGTTTGTTGTTCTAACCTCTCTATGAAATCCACATTTCAGCTTTTCAAGGTAAAGTAAAGTGCAGGCCAGGGCTTGGTGCGTTTTGATGAACTGTTGTGTATATGTACAAGAATGCTCATTTAATAAGATAAGAAGATCTCAACCAAACATCTGGAGGTCCATTATCACACCAAAGCAAACACGCTTTTTCTTTCCTGTGAACCTGACTGCATTCGATTTCACATTTAGCGTTTTTCAACATATTACTGTAATTAAATTTTGCACATTTGAGTGATTAAAAGTCTGATAAAGGTTGGACAAATGGATCAGTTTAAGTGAGCTTTTTTTCTAGTGTGATAAGTTGTTTTGATACACACGTTACATCATGCACAGACTATTTAAGCATCATACGCTGTGTGAGATTTGTCAATGTGTTTATGAAGATTATTGAACTGTTGTTTTGTCATTAATAACTCATGAATGTGCACTTGCGTGTGTGTGTGTGTGTGTGTGTGTGTGTGTGTGTGTGTATGGGTGTGTAATTATTGCATGTGTTTTGTGATTGTGAATGCATTATGTGCAGTGTGTGTGTGAGAGAGAATGAGTGTGGATGGGTGTTTCCCAGTAATGGGTTGCAGCTGGAAGGCCATCCGCTGCATTAAACATAGGCTGGATAAGTTGGTAGTTCATTCCGTTGAGGTCACCCCTGATTAATAAAGGGACTAAGCCGAAAAGAAAATGAATGAATGAATGAATTTTTGTGTGTTTAACAGCAACCTTGAACTATAACTAGTTTGCCATACAGCATGACATCTTATAATTTATTGTTTAAAATATTTTAGAGAAGCTAAATACATTTTTAATAAATTGTGTAATAAATTTGTCTTGTTAATGTAAACCTTTTTTGTCTCTTCTTCCTCATAGCGGCCAATGAGGGGAGGATAAATGGAGATGACTTTTTTCAGAAGGTGAGAATCAGTTTGTGTATTTACATTTTTTTTTAAATTAAATCTCTTGTTTAAAACCTTGTTTAATTGATTTAAACTTTAAATTCATGAGCTTTTTTTAAATGTACATTACATTTAAAAGTTTTTTTTACTGAAATGAATTATTTTATTTGGCAAGTAACACACTAAAAAATGCTTTTCTTACTTAGATTTTTTTTGTCTTGTTTCTTGTCCAAATATCTAAAGATCTTGCTTGTTTTAAGGAAAAATAATTTTGGCATATTATTTCTTAAATCAAGACAATATGTTTTGCTTGTCTAGAAAAGTCAGGTTGAATCACACACTCAATGAGAGAGCATGCTGCAAGAAAACAGACAATTGACTCGCACTCATCATCATCAGATCTCTTTTTTTTCACAGCAGATGAGTCAGTGTACTGTTCTAGTAACTGAATAGCTCAGGATGTGGATTTATTTCAAGTCAGTGGGGGTATCCGGTATGTTAGTACTGAAAACGCAAACTGTTTCCCGACAACTCTGTTCAATTTAATGAACTGGTTCGACCGATTGACTTGAAAGATCCAGTTAAAACAAACGATTCATTCGCTAATCAGCTGTCATCACTACAGACAGTCAGAATGACAGGCCAGAGACTTACATTTTTGCAATGGATTCTTGTTATTTTAAACTCATTGAAGAAAAGAAGTGGACTGCTGTTAAGTGTAGATTATGTGTAAGAAAAAACTCTGCAAGACAACTGCAAGAAACACGACATTGGAAAAAAAAAACTGGATGCAAAACACTACACCCGCACCCCACCTCCAGGTACACAACCAATGATTGACATCAGTTCATGTATTAACATAATTCCAGTAAACTAAAAAAAGGTTATTACTTTTATTGTTTAGGAGATGCAGACACTGTCTAATGTTACTGTAAAGCGACTACGTTTTGTAATATAGTAAGATTTTTTTTCTCTTTTGGAAAACGATTTATACATGTGTTAAGGTCACTTGAAGCAATTTATTCACTGTGTACAGCTCAAAGTTTATTTTGACTTGAGGATGATTTTTATCGTCTTACTGTTCATTTTGTTATTAAACATTTTAAATGTTTTAAATCTGTTTTTGCCTTAATAGAAATTATGTAATGTTAGTTCTCCTAGGCTTTATTGCAATCTTTATCTCAATGGATATTGAATTTAGTTAACTAAAAACACAAATCATACAAAAGTAGCAAACACATTACTTTACATGCTCTCATTAATCTGTATATGCATAATGTATAGCTCTGATCAGAAAGGTCTCAAAATATAATATTATCCTACATTTTTTAAAAGGAAAATGAAGGTGTAGGTTATATAGGTGGTTGTTAAACACAGAGCTTCTCTATAAAAAGGTGAAAAAACGACTGCAAGTTCTGAAAGAGATCAAGCCTCAGCCAGGTAAGGAAAAGTAACGCAAAAGTGACTCAAAAGTAAAATAACCCCAAAAAGTAACTAAGTACCGCAATTAGTTACTTTATGTGGGAGTAATATATTCAATACTCAATATTGTAATACATGACTTTCAAAAGTAACTTTCCCCAACACTGGAGAAGACCATTTATAAAAGTCAGGGTTTATGACTTTTCTATTATTAAGAGTTAAAGAAACCCTTTTCTGTGCAATCTTACATAGTTAAGATGAACATACATGAACATGAGTACCACTTTACATGCATTTACTCTGTTTAAAATACAAGCCATACCTATTTGCTTCTCTTATCTTTTGTTCATATGACAAACAACCTCAATTTCAGTATTTGTTTCCGAGAAGTATATAAAAGTAGGTCTCCCCCATTTTCTGCACAACAGTATAGCTTTTTAGCACAGATCATCCTCTTTCCAGAAGCGCACTGGCATTTCCAGCAGGTTTTGTGTGTGTGTGTGTGTGTGTGTGAGAGAATTTGCTGTGAGTCTTCTTTAAACACACAGTAAATCTGACCAAAGATGTGCATGGAGAGGCCAATTCAGAAGTTTGATTGATTTGGTCCAAACAATTATCCTTGCTTAGGTTTCTAATAAACAGAGATAACAAGGGCCAATGAAATAGTCCAAGTATTCTTGGTTTGGCTGAGATGATTGAGGTTTGTGTATAGTCTTTGAACATCACTCCTCTGGTTGCACCACTGATATGATCAATGCTTTCTGTCCTCACTTGCACTTTTTTTGCTGTCGTATACTGTGGTTTGTGCAAAATTCAAAGTGGTACATGTATTGTAGATGTGTTTATGTATCCGAATAAATATTTTCTTCTATGTGCATGTCATGTTTGTAACTATGTCTGACATAGAAATCCATCTTTGTTAGAGATCAAAATCTACAATGTTATTCAGATACTATTCAGTTTTTCATACTGTAAGCAACACTAATGCAAGCAGTACAGTCTCGGTTGGTAAATTTATAGCCAGTTTTTGGTTTATGTAGTCTGTTTGTGCACAACATTTTTTAGTTGCAATGAACTGGCAGTAGTTACATAACTTTTTTGCCAGTATTATGATATACATGAGTAAAACTGATTATTAAAAAAGAAATCAATGAATTATGGGTGGCAACACTTTATCCAGTAGTTGTTGGTTGGATGGATGCAGGCAGATTTGATTGTGAGCTTGGATTTGATTGAAAGAGGTGGAGTTTAAGTAGGGCTGTGCAATTAATCGAAAATCCGGTTTCGATTTCGATTTTGGCTTCTAACGATTATGAAAAACCATTAATTGAGATAAATGATTATTCAATCATATACCGCCCCCTTTCCAGTTGTACACATTTGTTGTTTTGCAAAGCTCAGTTCCACGTGAAAATGACTAAAAGCATGTACTGTAATATAACGTTTGCAGCACGGGATGCTCATTCAAATTTTTTAAAGCGCGAAAGAGCATATGCGTGTGTGTGCCGCGCTTAGCCTCGGACAGGCTCGGAAATGAGTAGAGCACACACATCTAACGCTATTTTAATGTGAGCGCTTTAATGGTCAAACACTTGCACATTTGTGTTAGAGCACGGTGTTTAGTGATTTTTCATATTAACCCTCTTTTGTGTAATAAACAAACGAGTTGAGCATCAAAAGACATATGAAAGAGAAACCATATCAGAGCCGCACTATTCTTAAAGAGACAGCGCGCAATAATCCTGCTGCTGCATGTTTTTATAATCACAAACAACAAAAGGAGAAAATCCCTCACTGCTCTTGACTGAAGGACTTTTGTAGCTAAAGTTTTTTCCTTACAGTGAAGATGCTTAAAGCACAGCTTAAACATAACAAATTTAATAACTAATTTTTAATAACTGATTTTTAAAATCTTTCCTATGATGACGGTAAACAATATTTGACTAGATATTCTTCAAGATACTAGTATTCAGCTTAAAGTGACATTCAAAGGCTTAATTAGTGTAATTAGTAGAAACAGTAGTTTCTTCTGCAGACAATCAAAATTATATATTGCTTAAGGGAGCTAATAATATTGAGCTATTAAAATAGGTTTCAAAATATTTAAACCTGCTTTTATTCTAGCTGAAATAAAACAAATAAGCCTTTCTCCAGAAGAAAGAAATATTATAGAAAATACAGTAAAAAAATCCTCTGTTAAACATAATTTGGGAAATATTTATATAATAAAAAAAATTCACAGGAGGGCAAATAATTTTGACTTCAGCTGATAATCTTTTTGAAATGTGATTACAATTATGACCAAAATAATTGTGATTATGATTTTTCCCATAATTGAGCAGCCCTAAGTTTAAGCATTGGAGAAGTGCTGCAGTTTCACTTGAAGATCAAGCTATGATATTTTGACAACAAAGGCTTTGTATAGAAAGACTGTGCACTTAAATAGAATAGTTTGAATGGGAAAGCGCAATGCACAATATGGAAGAACAAATCACACCTTTTAAATAAAAGATCCAATTGGCAGTTGGTAAAATCATCCCATCGCTGCTTTTAGAAGCTCTTGTTGTTGCCATAAAAATGATCAGTCTACTGAGACCTCGGCTTGATGCAAATGAACATTGACTAGAATATACAGAAAGCTTTTATAGCACACGTTTTGCATAAGGAACAATTTGATGGGCTGATTTAAATTTTTTACTATTTAAAAAACTATTAAAATTTCTGAATTTCACTATTCAAGTAAATAGGGCTTGGATTAGGATGCCTGAATATTTCCCCATCGTGAGCCTTGAATGATTATAAGATCAGAATTATTTTGACGTTTAATATTGTCTAACTGCAAATGTATACAATATTGTAAAAAAAAAAATGATCTGTTGTAATTATATTTGAATTTAAATTGTTTGTTAACTTATTTCAGTGGCAAGGGTTATTATGGGATGAAATACAACCTTTACTGTACAAAATGTTTTGTTAAAACATGGAAAAAAAAATCACAACTATATATCGATATATATATATATATATATATATATATATATATATATATATATATATATATATATATATATATATATATATATGCAGTTGAAGTCAGATTCATTAGCCCCCTGTTTATTTTTTTTTACCCAATTTCTGTTTAACGGAGAGATTTTTTTCAACACATTTCTAAACATAATAGTTTTAATAACTAATTTCTCTCGATGAGAGTAATCGTTTCAGTGATTTTTAAAACCTTTTGTTGAGATCTCCTTCCCTGCAGTGAATGGATTGGCTTCATGCCTATTGTTGATCCTGGCTCCTCAGCCATTCTCTGCATGTTTCCGTCTCCGTCTTTGTCTTCACCGTTATCATTATCTCGAGCATCGCCACAGTGGTGTCTGTCCAAATACCTTCACTGTTCTTTACACTGTTGATTTTCACATTCTTGCTGAAATTTTCATCAGTTATTTTGCACAACACTGTGGTTTCAAAATGGTTTGAAACAAGTAAACGGTGAGTAAATAATGTCAGAACTTTAATTTTTTGGTGAACTATCCATTTAATGAAGCTAACTACGCTAGTTTGATATTCCAGGCATTAGAAACTCTTTCTCC